AAACTGATTTAAGTCACCATTAAGGAATGAACGTATGGCTTACTTCAACTTTAGAATTGGTGTCCTCATAATTAAAGAGGTCAAGTAAAAAATAAATCCTCATCATCTATTCTTCTTTAAAGAGTTCAGACTTCCTTCTTATCTTCGTTCACATTCTTATGCCGTTCATTGCCCTCTTTCATCAGCTCATCTAAGGCGTCTTGCGGGTCAATATTGTCTTTGGAGAACCTTTGTTATGTTGATTCTTTAATTAATTTTTACTGGGAAAAAATTATGAATATTAGAAAATTAAACATAAAAAACAATTTGTTAGATGTTTTGACGAGGTAGGGCTGAGTAATAGGCAGGGTAGGCTAGCTTGAAGGTTAGCCCCTAGCCCACCCATTTATGAATAAACAGGCATGGCTAACCCATAACCCGATAGCAGCCCGTTTGGGCTGACTGGGTTACGGGGTAACCCATTTACTTTTCTGTTTTTTTTTTGTAATTTTTTCAGCATAGTTACTTTGTATATGTAACCTTATGAAGCTGTCAATAAATTTTGCATGTCAAATAGCAAATCAAATATAAAATAACATCACATAATATCAATCATATTCAATCACACAACATCACTTAGAGTCACAAACAATCAAAGTTTGATAAAATCATAAAAATAGTCACCAATCATAAAAAGTCTCATAAACTTTGAAAGTTCCAACTTCCACTTAAAGGATAAAATCAAAATTTAGACAAGCGTAAAGATTTGATAAAAGATGAATGAGAAATAATATCATCAATTAAATGAAGAATAAAGATATTTTTAAAAAAATTAAAACTCAAACGGGCAGGTATAGGCAGCCTAATATCTTACCCATAGCCTAACCTGTTTAATGGGCTACCTCATCCATTTAAGTCTGCCCGTTTATAATCTTTTATTTGGGTTAATTGGGCGGGCTTAAACGTGTAAAAATTTCATGGGTCACGGGTGGCCTGGTAGGTAATGGGTTTGTTGCTCACCCCTATCACTAGTTGACTGTAAATTAGTATTTATTGGTTTTGTGTGTGTTCAATCTGTGACAGTATAATCATGCAGAATGCAGTTTCCTAACTTTCATATTTTGACGAGATCGAAGAAACATGTCTAATCATTTTGATCTTATAGATTAATCATATCAAAACATAAGTACGTAAATAAAATAAATACCTTTTTCTGATCAACTTCCTTTTTGTTCACTAGCCCCTGAAATATTTTCAATCAAATTATATATTACATTGGCTTTTAAATTAATTTTATCAAATATTATAATATTAAAATATTAAACATCAAATCTATCAGACGCTTTTGTCATATTATGATGAATTTATATTAACTGAATATTTATTCTTGAATGAATTTATTTTTTCTGCATTTCATAACAAGTTTGGTTATTGAACTTTATTTTTCCGTCCTTTTGGTTCCTCAATAATTGCAATAATATCAGGCCAAAAAAATTGCAATAATGAATTTTAAGACTTAAACTTTTTTTTAAAAAATTTAATATATAATGTATTTGTACCAATTGCATGAATTGTTATTCACTTATTTGTTACTTTTGTACAGCCGGACATCCCTTCATTTGAATTAAGAGTTACTCGGGAGGGCATTTCTGCATTATTCGTGTAACTTTATTATAATATTTGAGGTAAGTAACAAATATCATAATAACCCATTTAGTCACTTATTTTATTTATATTTTATTTTTCTTATTATTTGCCATGAATATAGTAAGGAAATAATATCTCAATCACCAAATGAATTGATATCTTGACAAAGATGAGAAATAAAACACCGAATCAATAACTAAGCCGGTTGAGACAATAGACTAGATCAGGGTCCCGTCAGAGTCAGACCGATTATATTAAAATAATATAATTTAATTGACAATAAAAAATATAACAACATTTATAAATAAAAATCACTCAACAAAATATAAGAAACTATAAAAATAGTTTAAATGTTTATTTTTTCCCAACAGTTTAAATGTTTAATTGTAGCAGTCAAAATTATTAAAATACATATCTACTTTTTTTTGGTCCAAAAAAATACATATCTACTTTAAATGTTTGATATTTTTAGGTGGTTGAGACAAAAATCTGCACTTCATTAAAATACATATCTTTTTTCTTATTTTTTTTACTCTTTTTTCTCTCTCCCACGTGACTGCTTCCCATTTTCCTCTCTATGACACGTATCATGAGCAGTTTTCCTCTTTCTTCCTTGAACAACGAACAAACAGCAAGCACAGTATTTTTCTCTAAAATTAGTTAAATTAGTCATTTGTAATAAATAAGTGTTGTTTTCTCTAAAATACCTCTCACTAATTATGTGTATTAACTAAAATCACCAATTGATTAAATTTTAACACATAATGCCTCTCACTGATGAGCACGGAATGCGAACGCCAGTAGGATCCACATTCCGTGCTCATCAAGATGATGAGCACGGAGTGCTCAGCACTCAAAACGTGAGCATGAGGGACCTTTTTTTTTTATTAAAAAAATATATGTATTAGAATTATTTTTAGTTAAAGTTTATCTAATACTTTTAAATGTTTTTTTTACACATATTCAATATTTTAAAATATTTTATCATATCTTGAAATATTTTTTCATATGTATTTAGTGTTCTAAAATATTTTCTGACAATGCATTTGAAAAAATATTTAAGAATCTAGTATTTTAAAGTATTTTGTGATCTATTTGGTACCTAAAATATTTTTTCATATGTGTTCATTATTTTAAAATACTTTGTGACTGGGCTTACCTAAAAACATATTTCAGGATCTAGTATTCTAAAGTCTTTTATGATTTATCTAGTATCCTAAAATTTTAGTATTCTAAAATATTTTATGATACAATATTAGGAAATAGAAAATTTTTTAAAACATTAAATACACATGAAAAAATATTTTAAGGTACTAAATAAATCATAAAATACTTTAAGATATTGAAAACATCTAAAAAAAATATTTTTAAGTACTAGATAAATGTTAACCGAAAATAATTTTAATACATACTTCCTCCGATTCTTAATATAAAAGTTAATTTAACTAATTCGAGTATACTACAAAAATTAGTTAAATTAGTCATTTGTAATAAATAAGTGTTGTTTTCTCTAAAATGCCTCTCACTAATTATGTGTATTAACTAAAATCACCAATTGATTAAATTTTAACACGTAATGCCTCTCACTGATGAGCACGGAATGCGAACGCCAGTAAAATAGCAAACCTAGAACCCGCTTCACAGTTCTTCATTTCTCTATCTCAGCTAATTCGCATTTGCCTTCCTCATTTCTCTTTCATTTGTCCATACTTCATCCATCCCATTACCTCTGTCATCTTCATTCTTACCTTTTACTGTTCTAGTTTCTCCCCTCTCTCTTACAGCTTCAACAACAAATAAGCCCCCCGGTAAAGCCTTGAATGTTGAATCATCCTTTTATCTTTCTTCCATGCGTTTTAGTTTCCACGCTAAAATGCTTCTTCACTTCATTTTCTAGCATGTTCAGGAATTCTCTCACAGTAAGGTTTGTTTTCTCTCTCAATTTTTCCTTTTCCTCTGCCTTCTTTTCTCGGTAAATCTTCTCCTTTCCCACAGTTTATGCATTTTTAGGACGCAAAAAAGTTTAAACTGGATAACCACCCATCCCACCTTGTGGCTACTTGGTTAAACCCGTTTGTCACTGGATCCACCAAGCAAACTTGACCCAGGCCGATTTTTTTACCTAAAGTAAAGAATAATCTAAAAACTCTTAGTTTTATTGTGATGTTTCTGCTTTTTCTATCGGGTTTGGGTGTCTTTATTAATTTAATATGTATTGTGGATCTTTATTTAGATATTCATATCAATTGAACCCAAAAAAAAAAAACAGCAGTATAAATATTTAATTATTAGCTGATAGATTTTTTTAGTGTATTTTCAGAAGAAAACCAAATCATCATCCTTCCACGAATCATCGATTCATATTAAAAGTTGTAAATACAAAATATTTTGAATCTCTCTATGTTTAATTTTCTTCGTCGGAACCTGTGGGTAATTTTCCCAACTTTTTATTTGAAGTTTGGTGAAAGTGCACTATAAAAAATTGCAAATCTGTTCGATTCATTCTTTTGAACTTCACAATAATAAATTTAGGAGAATGAATATTTGCAGAAATTGAATTCTAAATTTTAAGATCCATAATGTCATAGGCTTAATCACGTGAATCATTGTTTGTTTCTTTACTGGTTCCAGGCTCGCTTCGGCGAAACATTTTCCTTTCCAGACTAATTTGACTGTACAGTTTGAGGTAATTAACTGAATAAATGCTTTATTTTTTTTTTCATTTTAGTTGTTTGCTACGTCTTATGATTTTTTTTGCTTAAATAATTTCTACAACTATGTGAAGTTACAATACTCTGGGGCCTAAGTTATACTTTGTGATGCTCCATATTTGGGAAATCGCAGGAAATACTTTCAATTTTTGTTTAAGAAAAAATTCTTCATTTTTAGAGAGTATTAATTAATCATTAATTTACAATGTTGTCTATAATATCTTCTGGTATGGTATAACTTGAGAATTCTTGTTTTTTCTTGTACTCTCTTATAATTAATTAGTTTCAGTTATCGTCTTTCTGCATTGTTAATTTTCATGTCATTATTTAGATTTTATATTAGTTGGCAGCAAAAGTATGTGGCAGCAGAATGAACTCTTTTTACTTGATTTTATATTTATAATATGAGAGATTATTAGTACTAAAGCGACATTAAGTAAGTATATGTGATTGCGTTTTATTGCATTAGATGGCAGAGATTGTGATATCAATCGGGTCAAAGCTTGCAGAATATTTGGTGGCTCTAATTTCACAAGGAGCTATTATTTGTTTTGCTTCAAGCAGTTCATTGGAGGTGTTGAGAAAGCAAAACAAGAGCTGGAGGCAAAACTAGAAGACTTGAAAAAGTGCAAGGAAGAAGCTGATTGAAAAACTGAAGAAATAATGCCATCCGTGAAGAAGTGGTTGGACGATGTGAATGCAATCCTAGAAGAGGTGCAAAAGTTGCAACAAGAGCTTGAAGGAGGACCAAACAAGTGTTTTAATGTGTCACTCAGATATTCTTTAGCAAAACGAATGGAAAATAAGGCTAAGCAAATGACAGATCTCAAACAAAATTCCAGCTTTGAGCCATTTTCCCAACTGATCCAACTTCCTGGCATTACTTACTTCTCTTCCAAAGAGTTTATGGCTTTCAACTCAAGGAAATCAACTTATAATCGTCTTTTGGAGGCAATTATAAATGGCAAAAACAAGATGGTGGGACTATATGGTATAGGGGGCTCAGGCAAAACCACTTTGGCAAAAGAAGTGGGCAAGAAAGTGGATGAGTTGAAGCTTTTTGACAAGGTCATCATGGTAGTTGTTTCTAAACCCCTAAATATTATGAACATTCAGCAGGAAATAGCAGGGCAAATAGGCTTACAACTTCAAGAGCCAACTCAACTTACTAAAGCACAAAGGCTATCAGAAGGATTGAAAAATAAGAAGATTCTTATAATCCTGGATGATGTGTGGAGCAAACTAAAGCTTGAAGATATTGGAATTCCAACCACTGGAGGTTGTCATATCTTGTTGACCACTCGCCTTCGATATGTATGCGTCTCTATGGATTGTGAGAGTAAAATTGAGTTGTTACTCTTAACAGAGGAAGAGGCATGGGCTTTGTTCAAGATGCATGCTAACACAACTAGTGTGTCAACGAATGAGTTTGATAGCATCGGAAGGAAGATTGTTGATGAGTGTAAGGGTTTGCCTATAGCAATTGTAACAGTTGGAAGCACATTAAAAGAAAAGAGTATTCATACGTGGAGATCAACATTAGAAAGGCTACGACATCCCCCACCACTGGATATTGAAGATGATTTGAAGACCCCTTATGTAACTCTCAAAGTAAGTTATGATAATTTGTCGAGTCCGCTAGCTAAGTCACTCTTCATATTGTGCTCTATGTTTCCTGAGGATCATGAAATCCATATAGAGGATTTAATTCGTTTTGGCAAAGGGACTCTTAAGCTTGGTGAAAGAATTTACACAATGGAGAAAACAAGGGATAGGGTTTTAGCCAACATTGAGAAATTGTTAGATTCTTGTTTGTTAATGTATACCAGTAAGCAGGCACATGTAAAATTGCATGATGTGGTTCGAGATGTAGCCTTGTGGACTGCAAAGGAGAAGTGTCAAGAAGTTCTGGTGGACAACCAAGAAATTTCAGAGATGTTAATTGGTAAATACCAAAGTTTGGAAGATACAAAGGCAGTGTCATTGTGGAATTTGGATAAGCATCTAGAGCTCTCTAAACAATTGCATTTTCCAAAACTTGAGATTCTACTACTTCAACCATATGGGTTCATTCGAGATATTGAAGCAATGGAGTCACTCAAAGTCTTGGCACTCGTAAGACATGGATTTGAGTGGGAATTGCGGAGGCGGGATCTAAATTTTTGTTTAATTCCACAATCAATTGTATCATTAACTAATCTTCACACCTTATGCCTTAGGGGGAAAATTTTGGGGGACGTATCTCTTTTGGGTGAACTTAAAGGATTGGAGATTCTTGACTTACGTGGTTCTCTATTTGATGAATTACCTATTGGAATTGTAGATATGAAAATGCTGAAACTTTTGGATATATTTGGTTGTCAAATTGAGAAAAGCCCTTTAGAAGTAATTGGAAGATGTGAGCAGCTTGAAGAATTATACTTTTGGGACCACAAATCTGTCATCCTCGAAATTCTCTCTCTGTCAAATTTGAAGAGGTATATTATCTATGATTCCAGATTAATTTGTGACTATTGGCACGAGTCTTTTCAAGAATATTTTGATAGTTGTGATGAAGCATTAAGAGCTTTGTGTATACAAGGCTTTAGAGTCTCTTATTTGAATTTACCAATGAAAGATCTCATTCTTAGAGCAAACCACCTTTGGCTAGATAACTGTGAGTGGGATTATAAAGATACAAATTTTTAGATAAAGCACTTAGTGGTATCATGCTGTCAAGAGAAAAGATTCATCATCAAGAACCCTGATGTGAACATTCTTCAAACACAACAAGTATTCTCACGCTTGATCACTTTAACATTGTTTGAAATGAATAGTCTTGAACAAGTGTTTCAAGATTCATCTATTGGCTGCTCTCTCCCCATGTTACAAGAGCTATGGATATGGAGTTGTCCTGAATTGAGAATTTGTATCTTCTCACATGCCACCATTACGAGCCTGCCAAAGCTGAGAAAACTTCATATTGGCAACTATGACAAAGTGAAATGGCTACTGTCTTGTTCCCTAGCTTCTTATTGTCCTTTACTGAAGGAAATAATTATAAGCCATTGCTCTGAATTTGAGAGGCTCATTGATGAAAAAGCTGCACATGGGGATCCACTACTTCATGATAAGCAATATTATCCATATGTAAGTATTATTTGCAAAATTCCTCTTTTCTTTTTTTTTTTTGGCCATGAAGCAAAATTCCTCTTGAATCATTGCATATTAGAAATAATAGTCCATATTCACACATTTGATGAAAAATATTTATCTTCTCATTTAATTTTTAAACTGAATTTTTTTGCTTCTCTCTTCTTTTTTTTTTTTTTACCATGAAGCAAAAGTGTTGTTTGTTATCATAAAATAGTTTGGTAAATCATAATTTATATCACGATCTATATATTAATTGTACAAGGTAATTAAAGAAGCTAATATATTATAAATTAGTGTCGTTTCTTTCTTTACTTAAAGATTTTTAACTATATAATAATGTTTGTATAATGAAATTCTATATCTTTGTACTACTGCTAGTCCTCAGTATAAAATATAGTTTGCAGTGCACCTCAATGATAATATTTTAAAAATATATAGGATACATACATAATCATATATAATTGGAGAACTTTGCATAATGTTAAAGGGAAGATTAAGGACTAAGTAGCAATAATAAATAAAAGTTTGGGGACCAAATTTTATATTAAGTTAAAATTATTGGGACTAAGAGATTAATTTTTTTTATAGATTTAACTACTAATTATGTATTGTAACCAAAATACACTACTACTTGTATTTTTCTCTTTCTTTTTGGAGTATTACAAAAATTATTTACAAATTGTATTTTTTATTTCTTTCCACACACGAATCTGATAAAAACTTGAATATCTTTTGCTCATTTTAATTTATTATCAAAAAATTGATCTCATTCTTCCGAACAGCACTTTAAATTTTTTGTTTTATATTTTTGTCAATAAAATAATGATTTAGGATACCAAATTTTAAGATAAATGTTTTTCTTAAATTTTCTTTTGATATTTAAAAAGATCTCTCTTACCATGCCTCTTTTATTGCTATTAAAATTTTTATATTTTCATTTCAAGTTTTGGTAAGAAGTCTTGATTGTTATTATATATATTTGCCAACTTGTTAAAGAGGATTATTTACTAGCAATAGTTGGCAATAATTAATATATAATATAAGAAACTTACTGGGTTTAATCTCAAATCTAGTTAGAGTAAAAAGCAAGTTGTTATAATCAGTCCATTTCATAATTTTAATTTTAATACATTTACAGGGAAAGGAAACTGACAGTGCTTATGTAGGCGTTATAGCAAAAAGATTCAATCAGTTGCAAAATGAGCAATCCTTGATCCTTTTTCTAAGATTGAAAAGTCTACAAATTGTAAGGAGTGGAAAAAAGAAAGGTATATTGGAAATCCAAGTCAAAGGAATAGTGGAAGATGATGATGAATCTATTAAAGCCCAAGAGCCTCTAAAGCTGGATTCAGAGTTGAGTGGATTAAAATTATTTAGTCTACCAGAATTGGAATATATTTGGAAGGGCCCCATCCAAATTGTGAGTCTTTATAGACTTGAAAATGTTTTATTGCAGCACTGCCCAAAATTAAAAAATATCTTCACTCTTGCTATTATTGCAAGCTTTCCAGAGTTGAGAATACTTGAAGTAAATTATTGCAAGGAATGGGAGGGAATATTTTGTGAAGAATCACTCAAAAACCTCTCTTCTTCTAATATTTGCTTCCCCAAACTTACGGTTATAAGTATATCCTATTCCAACAAAGTGAGATGGTTGTTAACTTATTTTCTAGCATCTCATTGTCCTTCACTAGAGGATATAAGTATATCCAGTTGCTCTGAATTTGAGGGGCTGATTGATGAAGAAGCTGCACATGGGGATCCACTAGTTCATGATATGCAAGATCATCCACAGGTAAGTCTCATCCGCAATGTCTCTCTCTCTCTCTCTCTCTCTTTTGAACAGCAAATCCGCAATGTCTCTCTTGAATCATTGCATATTAGAAATAATAATAATCCATATATATATGTTGACGCATTTGCTAAAGTAGCCATGTTCAATTTACATCTCCCTTTTATTTGAAAATTTTTTGTTTACTATCGTATAATATATATATATATTTGTATAATCATTAAACATAACTTCTACAGTAATTATTTTATTTTTGACTTCACTTTATTATACCTGTATAAACCTCTTTTTATTATTAAATTTTCTTAGCTATACATTCAGGCTGCACGATGGAACTATTTTCTGAGTTTTCCTTATTTTTATAATAATAAAATATTATTGCCTTTTTGAGCTTTGTCTTTTTCTTATTAATTTTTTTTTAAAATAATGACTTTTATTGTGGTAAGTGCTTGTTCAAAGTTATTTTATTCAAAAATAAATTAGTGTTGATGCATTATCTAAAAACTACACATACTTTAAAAGAAATATTTTTCCTTTCAAAATTTTCGCCATGCTTTTCTTTTCTTTTTGATGTGAAAAAAATACCTTTTTGTGGCTCTTTCTTTTTCTGCTAAAAATTAAGTTAACATTACAATTTTTGTTCAAATAGTTCTTGTCGGTCAAGAAATATTTAATATGTGTACTTCTTGCTAAAAAATATATATATTATTTATTAAATGTGATATGGTTGTCATAATGGAGAATTAACATAATCATGTAGTAAAAATTATATACAACATTTGCCAGTCACACATTTTCCATGTTACTATAAAGATTGATTGAGTCTGGTAAAACACGTGTCGAGACTATGTTAACACAATTTTAAAAGCACGTTATTTTCATTTTGCCATTAAATGATCAATTCGGAAAATACTTATAACGGCTAGCATAATATAAATTATTGTCCGTAGAAGTTCTCACCACAGATTTCAAACATTTTGATAAAATTTTTCTTTCACTCACCTACCTCTTTTTCATAGAATTTCTGTTTAGCATTTACATTATGCTACTAAAGATTAAACTGCTCGAATTTTTCTTTTTCCAGTACTACAAAATATTATTTGCAGGCTGCATTTTTGAATTTATCTTTCTACAAGTGAATTTGATAAAAAATTTAATCTCTTTAGTTCCTTTTAATTTTTTTGTCAAATAATTAATTTTATTTTTCCAAACAACCCTTTTGATTCTTTATTTTTTATTTTGTCAAGCAAATAATTATGTGGGACTGTATTTTATTTAGAATAAGTTAGAGTTGATATAATATCTATAAATTACCTACGTATATACAATATTTGTTTTTCTGTGGACGTTAAAAAGTTCTTTGTCAGTGGACATCTTTTATTGCTATTAAAATTTGTACGTTTTCCTTTCAACTTTTTTGGCGAAACTAACTGGCATGCTTTAATCTCTCAGCAACCTTTGATCCGAAATTGTTCTGAACTTGAGAGGCTTGCTGAAGAAGCATCATATGGGGATCGGCTACCACTTCTCAAACTGAAGTACTTAAGCTTGCGGTCAGTGCCAAAATTGAGAGAGATCTTCCCTCACGTAAGTGTTTTCTCTCACTATTTCTTTTTTTATTTGTGATTTTTTATGGATAAAATTGATAAATGTCTTTTAAATTATTTATCAAACATAACACTTTATTTTTCATTTTATAGCTTCGTCGGAGAAATAACTTCTTTGTTATTACAGAAAGTACTTGTTCATGGTTGTTTTTGTTAAGAATGAATTAGTGGAAATATTTTCTCATTTTCTTTGGACGTGAGAAAATTCTTTTTACAGGACCTATTTTCCTTTCCTCTTGTTTACTTTTTAAATTTATTTGAAAATTTGTGTTTACTGTGAAACGATATATATGAGTAGCAAGACTATATTCTAATGAAAAGCCATAATCATTTCAATTTTATTATTTAATATTTTGCGTCAATGAAGAAGTCTTCTCGTCATGAAATCAAGCTAGAAATTACTTGAAGTATTAGCAATGTTCCCATTAATGCTTGGTTGCGGAACCATTTTTTGTTTTTGTGAGCGGTTCTTTATCATGGAAAGTATGATTTGTCCAAAACTGTTTGATTTGAAATAAATCAACGTCGATGCATATTTATACATCATACATTGTGTACGTGTGTGTGTGTCTATGTATATTTCACATTGGACCATCAATAATATGTATAAGAAAAGTCTAACTTAATAAAATTCATCTTACTGAGCTTATATTATTACAGTTTTATAAATATGTGAAATGAATGGGGTTCACTTTTTAATGTTACAGTGCCATTAAATTTATGTGGTTCATGTGTGTGTATACATAGTCCATATGTTGAATTTTCATCTAATCATTGAATATATTTACTTCACAGAAACATGACAATGACAGAGTGAAGGTGGTAAAGTCAAAATTGTGTTTTGTACTGTTGGAAGATCTACCGGAATTAGAATATATTTGGAAAGATCCCATACAAATTTTGAGCTTCCATAGACTTAAATCGATTGGACTATGTAAATGCCCAAGATTGAGAAATACGTTCACTCTTGCTGTTGTTACAAGCCTTCCAGAGTTGAGGTATCTTAGTGTAAAAAGTTGCAAAGAATGGGAGGGAATATTTTGTGAAGAGTCACTTGAGAATCTGTCTACTGCTCCTCTTGTTTGCTTCCCCAAACTTAAAACCATTGAAATAATTGATTGCCACAAAGTGAGAAGGGTGTTCTCATATTCTCTGGCATCTCATTGTCCTTCTTTGGAGGAAATAACTATAAGGAATTGCTCTCAATTGGAGAGGGTTGTTGTTTGAATGAAGGTGAAGTAGCTGCTCATCATCAAAGGCTGTTTCCTAAACTGAATGATTTGGATCTCGGGAAGTTGCCAAAGTTGAGAGAGATTTATGAAGGTTATGAATCCAACCTCCTTTCTGGTACTATAACAATAGAAGATTGTCCAAACATATCAAAAATCTCAAAAATCCCATTAGAAGACAAGCCCTCGTCATCAAGTTCGTAGCTACACTCTTTCTTTCAAACTATTATCATATTTAATCAATGAAATAATTTTGTGCATTACAATTTCTATCTCTATATGAAAAAAAAAGGTCTTTTATTAGAAGGAAAATTTTTTTATCTTAACACCCACACATCACATCCCTCTAATTTTTTTTAATAAAAAATTCTATCTTTTATTTTGTCTATATGTTCCATTTTGATTAAGCTGATAATTAATTGTTTGTTTTTTTGGTCAGCCTTGGAGATCAAATTGGAAAGTTAGACAATGAACGGCTGATGATGAGCTTTGGATCTTCCAATGGTTTCTTTATCTGCATTTGTTTCTTACTATGTTGTGTGTGAAAATATGTTGGATTTGTATCAGTGTATTGAAAATTACACAAAAAATTAAGAAAAACTTAAAATTTTAGACATACCCTGCTTTGAAGTTGTTTTTATTTGAGTCTGTTGGAGCTATGCAAACTATATTCAAGATTGGACACAAAATACAATAACTGCGTGGCCCTTGTGTGCGTAACTTATTTTATTTCAAATATTGTATCAATCAATGATTTCTTATGTCGTCCTTTATTTCAATCTCGCAATATAGTTGTTATTGTTTAAAAAAATACAATCACAATTCTATATTGATTTATATGTAAAAGAATCATCACAAAAAAGGTTTTTCTAATAAAAAAAAGGATAACATATTTTAAATTGTAGACGAATAAGTTTTGAAGGTCCTACCCATAATCTCTCCACACTTGCTTCATCCTTCCAAAGGATAAAGTCATGTTAATGTTTATAAAGCATTTTAAGTGAAGTTTATAATCCAATCCATCAATTTGACAACAGTAAATAATTATAAAATTTAAGAGTTGCCTACATGTTTGTATAAAAATTAAAAAAATTGAGAAAGAAAACGTCATTAAGGGATAATAATATTAATCCATCATCAAATGGAATTAAATTATGTTATTAAAAAAGAATTAAATTATATTTGGCCTCTACAAGGATTAGTGATAAGTGATATAATAAAAGAATATGGCAAAGCTCCTAGTGTTTAATTTAACAATAAAAATATCATCCATATATAGTCCATTTAGTGTAAACGAAAGTCCTGCTGATAGGTTCTCTATTTTTCCCCTTTTTTTAATTCACCTAATAGATTATACTTTAGCAAACGTTTATAAGAAATTAGGTTCTTTACATTCATGGATTCACATTTGAGGAAAGTTCCATAAAAAGAAGCAACTACAAATTAGAAATAGTCTTGAGAGTTTTTGAAAAGTTACTAAAGCTAGAAACATAAATGTTCTGTTTATTGAACTTACAAAGCATGAATCCAAATGCTTTATAATCCTAAGTGGAAACAAGTTAAAAAAAAATTGAGGGATGATTGTGAAGAAATAATATCACTCATCATCTATGTCATGACTTAAGGATTTATGTATATGTGCTTCTCATTCTCATGAATATCAAGTAGGTGGAAGGAACCTATTGAAATTGAATGGCAAAGTATAGAACTCTTCGATTGAAAGGCAAAATATTCTCCTATAAACTTTTTGAACTTTATCCCCCACGTCATTCCTCTATCTTTCTTTGACTTTTCAACCTTGAGCGTGTTGGCAAGTAATACCCCCACGATCAAAGCCACTGTGGCTGGCCATGAGAATATGGTGTTTATGAGTGCATTAAACTACAAAGATGACACATTGTCGCACATTAAAATGAGCTCTTGATGTTCAAAAATTTCAGCAATAATGCAAAGATGGTTTGCTTTTATCTTAATCAATAATCTCAGCCTTTTAGACAACTTTCCCCTTAATGCCGTCAAAGGCATTGAAATTAAATATTCTAAATTAATAGAAAATATTCTAAACCATTTTAACTTCAAGTCAAACCACAAAGAAATAGACTGAAATTTATTTAACTTAACTTGTTTGGTTCAACATTTCTGGAAATAGATTCCATTTTGCTTGCATATAAAACAAGTGTAATATCTATTATCCAAAGAGAATGCAGTACAGTGTAGTGAATATCAGGAACGGTAGAGATGCAAAAACAGCCCCAAACTTTCTTGTGGAAACTTGTGTAAAAAACCATCTGCTTACTCTGCTTTCAGCTCTGTCATCATAACAGAAAACAACTGACTTGTTAAGCTCAGGAAAGTGACCTTTCTTCATAATCAAAATTGTCCAATCACACAAAAATTAGTAGATATAGTCATCTTCACTCACACAATGGAGGCAGATACCTACTGGGGGAGATATCAGAGGATTAGTGTATCTTCCGGTATAATAATATTAAGAATAAGAGATAGTACCTTATTGGAATGAATCCAACCAATTACTTCAAGTAACATCTATTTGGATTAATGTCCTAGTTTCATGTTGCAACTCTGATTATGATCGATGCTTCTGAATTACAGTTCAAGCTGGAGAGCCATGTCAGAATATTAGAAAGTAAACTAAAATTGCTCTGAACCTTGGGAGGTAGCATGTAAGAAAAGCTTCATGTACAGTTTAATAATCAGCTATAGTTATGTTTTTTAAACGGATCAAACATGTGTTAAAGATCAGAGACATAGAATTGGAATCTGCTTTCTGAAGCTTGCTTGGAAAGTCGTAAACTCCGCCTTGTCCTTTGGAACCTAAAGAACGGACAGATCTCAATTGAATTCTATTCCTATTCAAGCTTTTGGAAATATCTTTCAATGATAACAAATAAATATACTTCTCCGGTCCTTATTATAAGACCCAATTTGACTTTTTATTTAGTTCTAATTATAAGACCCCAATCCATTTTGTCTCTTATATTTGTGCATTTTTTTCCAAGATAATCCTTCTAAAAATGATAGTTTTAGCCAATATACTTAATTAGCAAGGATATTTTAGGAATGACAACACTTATTTATTATAAATAACCAACTTAACTTACTTCCTTAATCTCCTCAAATAAGTCAATTGGGTCTTATAATTAGGACCGGAAGAGTATTATTTTTAATTAGATAATCTAATAAGAAATACACAGATTGAAGGAGTACAAGACATATTGAATATATGAACCTCATAATTTGTTTTAGGTTCCATCCACACATCTTTACCTGCATCGTGGTTATGAAGCTTCCAGGAAAACACATTTTCTCTAATAAAACATATATAGATCAATTCTAACATAAGAATTTTTCTAAATATCATCATTCTAGGCTTTAGAATACTGCACGGTGCTATGAATCCAGAATCCCAGATTCTCTGTGGCTCTTTTAAGAAATTAGTGTTTTGTTTTCCTTTCTCTGGCTCTGCATTGAGCTATATTTTTGTTCCGTCTAACTTGTCAAGCATGTTTTCCATATTCTTCTAGAATGATCTTGAAATTATGTGATGGAGATTGGGTCACGATGGAGGCGTCACTTTATAGCCAAACTCTTTATGCTTCGTTTGGATGGGAATAAAAGTTAAAAGGAACAAAAATAGGAAGAGAGAAAATTGAAGAGATAATGTTATCCTCCTTCTTGTTTGATTAGAGGAGAGAAAATAGGAAAAAAAAAGAGCAAATACATAAATGACTAAAATACTTTTATATCTATATCAAAATATATCATGTTGAAAATAAAATTGAACATTCCAATGAAAACATCATACTAAGACTAACATCATTAAATAATTTAAAATCAAATGATTTGGTAAAAGAATATTGTCATTTGATTATATTTTAAAAACCAAATAATTTAGTAAAAAATATTATTTTTAAGGTAAAAATAAAAAGTGGGTAAATTTTTAAAATTAAACATGATAAAAGAAATAAATAAATTATATATTAATAATCAAAATTTAAAATAAAATTTGAAATATATGAAGATATATATATTAATAATGGAGTTTGCGTGCTGGTTTTGAATTTGGCCATAATACAGTGAGATGATTTATTAATATTAATTTGCTGAATTATGAAGTAGCCATAAATAAAAATAAAAAGAAAAATTTTGCATCAAACATAGAAATGGGAGATTACTAGACTATTTTGGAGGAGGACATACAAGGGATGTGGACAGAGGAGAACATCGATTGTTGTTCGTTATACCCTATTTTCTCCTGTATTTTCCTTTCCTCCCACTTTTCTCTTCAAATCCGGACAGGGAAAATCTCTTCTTCTTTTTTTTTTTTTCCCCCCACCGCCGGATCCTCTGTATCATTGTGGACAGAGGAGAACATCGATTTTTGTTCGTTATCGGCCACAAGCAAAGGGGTAACATCGCTGCCGGGTCGGGTTAGTCGTATATCCCTGGCTGCTAGCGGCCAAAATCATCCGGAGATATGACGTAAAATAAACTGAAAATCCTCTGGAGAAAGCCAGAAGCCACACAGATATATACACGGAGCTTTGCTTTAATTAAAGCTACACACAAACACACACAGATATGGAGACCTTCTAACAAATTAATAGGTGGCTGGAAGACAGGGGAGAGAGAGAGAGAGAGAGTTAAGAAGCACAAAGGGAGAGACTGAGAAAGTAAAGAAAGAAAATTGAGAGAAGAAGAAGGGAATGGATCATCATACCTTTTTAGCTGCTGTTGAACTCACTCTTTTACACTGATTGTATAATCGATATAGTTGTCAATATTAAAAAAAAAAAAAAACTGAAAACTTCCACTAAAATTCTGTTTAAAACAGGGCACTCTCCATAGAATAAGATCAAACACATAGCTGAAAACTTCATGTGGTGGCAGTAAGAGAGACACCAGTAGATTTTTCTTTTTTCCAGAAGAAAAATGATGACTTTAGTAGAGCACTGCGGATGAACAGAGCACATTTGTCTTCCGTGAGTTCTAGCTTACCATCGCTGAAGGCTTCCACCAACTTCTCCCATTCCCAGTGGGGAAAAAGACCTTAGTCACCAGAAGAAAAAAAAATGACAACTCATATTTTTAGACCATGTCGGCATGGTTAATTAACCGAAGGAGTTAAAGCTTAGCCTCATGTTCTTGAATCTTGATATGTAATGGCTTCTGGATTAGGCACATTCAACCGCGAGCAATAATCAAGTGTTTAGGTTGAAATCGTGACTTGTTAATCTACGCTAATGAAATTAACAAGCTTTATTCCTTCTTAATATTGCCCATAATTTATGTTAATGATCTCTTTAAATCTCATAATTATATTTCTTTGAAAAAGTTGGTCAACAAATTCATTATATGAGCGCTCTGAAACACGTTTCATCTCATGCCCACTCATATTGAGCCACTTGGTCTCATCTTTGATTAAATAAATAGAAAATGAAGCATATTGTGGGCATACAACCTTCTTTCATTAATAAATGTTCAAGCATCTTTAATTGCATTACCTTTTCCCTTTTTGATTCCAATCAAATTAGTGAGACTTGTGTCACATCTTGTCTTCTCTTTATATATTAAGACTGGAATAACAATTACTTTGGGATCCAAAGAAAGAAGGGAATACTTTCATTTTCTTCATCTTCAAGGAAAAAAACAGTATAAGAGAAACCTAAACGATAGCATAAAAAATATGCTTTAAAACATTGTTTCTAAAGTTTTCCAAACATATGACCCATATCTTTTGCAAATAATAATAATAATAATAATAATAATAACAACAACAACAACAACAACAATAATAAAATTAGCTAATTTTGCTTTTCTGTGTTTTCTTTTATTGATCAAAAGTATGATGAGAGATTGTTTTAAAATATTTTTATTTATTTTTTTCTTTCAATTTCTCTTTTCATTCAAAGAAGCCTATTAATAAAAAAAAAGTTTGGCGTTAGATCATAAAATAAAAAGCATTAACAGATGTTGCTTTCTACTTCTGAAAAAATATGAATTGAAACAAATTTTTCCTTCTAATAAAATTTATATTATAAATTGGAGGGAGTAAACATTAAATGAGTTAAAAAAAACGTAATTAATATTTTTATAAGAAGTAACTATTTTTAACAACTTTTTTTAATGAACATGAATTATTTTTATAAAATGATACAGTAGGAATAGTAATCTACTCATTAATTAATTATTAATTTAGGGAACAAAAAATCTTCTTTACCCTTGAAAAAGAGTAATAAACTAATAATAGAAGGTCGATTCAAATCTCAAGTAATGCTTTTAGCGACTATAAAATGTGTCAACGTAACTTAATTATCATCTTAAGTTAATTTTTAAAACAATTTGCTTTGAAAATCAGAAGTACTCAAAATTCTAAAATAATATTGATACAATTTTTTACTCATTTAACACCGTAAAACTTCATAACCAAGATTACACCAAAATATAGTTTAGGATACTCATTATTACTGGAAAATATTTTTAGAAACAATTGTTTTTTGCCAGCTTAAGAAAAAATTGTATAAAAATTAATTTAGGATGCTAGATGCTGTGGAGAAAATATTGTGCCAAGACTATTCACTAGAAACAATGTCAAGTAGATTTTCACCATAACTATAGTATTCTCTTATATTTATTTAGGTAGGCATGTTCGGCTAATTGGAGACAGACCTCATCAGTTGGAACACCCATAGTTAAAGGTGAACATGAGAGATTAAATTGTAATTAGGTTTGTTCATTCAGTAAGATGCCTCAGATCAAGTAGGTTTCTTTGGTAGACTTTTCAACCATTGCTGTATTCCAAATTGTAATCATACTTGCTGATGGAGCATTCCGTTTGCTAGAGAGCAAGAAGCTTATGGTGCACATTGACTCACTAGAATCAATCAGCTGCTTTTGTAGTGTTGCAAGCTTTTTCACTTGAATCGATCCATCTTTGTCTTTAAGTACAAATATGTTCAAGTATCCGTAATTACATTCTTCTGTCATTCATTGCCCTCTTATCCTCAAGGCCATGTTTCAATCTTGTAGGTAAATATTGTGTTGGAGATTCTTTGTTATATTGATTCTTAAATTAATTTTTGCTAGGAAAAATTGAATAATAGAAAGTGAAACATCAACAAGAGTTTGCTATTTGGTCTAGCCATGTGAGAGTAAATTTATGTTAGTTGGATTTGTATTATTTAGTTGTTGATGACTTCTTATGTGGTATTTCGTTTAATTTCTAAATTGTTAAAGAGTTTAGATTAACTTGTTTGATTCATTTACATTCACCTGATCTCATTTGTTCTTTCTTATATTTATGTTCAATCTTGCACGATATGTACATACTAGCAGCAGTCTCAATCATTTTCTTCAACCTGCCTCTACTGTTCAAGCTTCTCATCAAACATTTTCAAGTTCATTTATTTGTCAAACACGTAAATATTCACGTAAAGATTTTTTGCTATGTTGTTTTTTGAAATAGGAAAAATTAATTTGATAGTGCTTGTAGTTTGGTTAAATTTTGAATAAGATTCTCAGGGCTCGTTTGATATGAGGAAAATGAAAGGAAAGGGAGGGGAGGAAAAATTTTATGTAGGTACATAAAATATATACTTCTTTTTGCATGGAATATTAGAAATACATGTTTTACAAAACTATACTACATACAGCTTGTGTTAACTTAAGATATTTATTAGTTTTTAATGTGTCTCTAATCATTATTTAAACTCCAAATTTAAATTATTAAACGATGAATAATTATATTATAAAGTTTTACACACCTCTTTAGTCAAGGGAATATTTAATATATTATGTTAAGGGCTTGTGACTTGAAAATTTAAGTTCTTGAGAAAATTTTTTTGAATATTTTTTCTTAAGTAAATATTTATAAATTCTTTTATGATAATACCCAACACAGACACGTATACATATGTTTTACATTGTAAAATGTTACCCTGACTAATGAAAATAGTTAAAATAATTAGTTTTTTAATTTTTGTCAAAAACTTATTGAAATGATAATTATAAAAATTGAATAAATTGTTCCCTCAGTCTCTCGATTTCATTTTAAGGTCTCCATTTTTTTGGCAAAAAATATGTAGAATCACTATTGCGATAAATACCTACAACATACTTATTTCTCTGTGTTTATCTCTGTGTGTCTTCCCTTGCTGCTCACCAGTCATCACATGGTTTTTGTTTCGGCAAAGGAAGAGGCCTAGGGTCCAAAACACAACCAACTACATCAGCCCAGACCTGTTCTCCAACCTCCGTACACCAACCTTATCCCTTTCGAACCGGGGCGCCTTTTCTCCCAGATCTGAAACCCCCCCAAGACCAAATCCCGTCTTAGCCATAATATATGCACAAGAATTAGAACTTCGCTTGATTTTGCAGACACGAGCAGCTCACTCCTTCTCCATCAAAGAAAGAATTCCCCTATGGATTCCGTTACAGAACCCCTTCATCTCCTTCCCCTTCAAACGCCGAGCTAGAATCCCAGAGTCTGTTTCTATGATGACCCCACGGAACCCCCTCAGCCCTCTAGCTAACTCCAGCCCTCTCAAAATGCCCCAATTTTGAGAAAAGCCACAGATCCACTCCCCATTTTCATCACGAAGGATTCCCCCACAACTCGCCAGACCGGGCTCACCTCTACAGAATCCATCAGTGTTGAGCTCATCGGAGGTTCCCATACATCTACAGCCTCCCTCAACCCAGCACTCATACGTTCAATGATAACCTTCATTTCAGCGAATTCCGTTGCTTGAGACCAAGATCGTTTTACCAACTCAAAGTATGAAGCTTTTTCAGCTCTGAAAAGCCGGCCATTCCTCTGCTTCCACAAGTTCCTGCAGACCCCTCTAGAAAGAACACCCCACGGTATGTTTCTCATTTTCTGATCTGCTGCTCATCACATGCTGAACAATTTTCTTTACTTCTTTTTTAATTAAAATATTATTATAAAATTAAAATTGAAATTTCAGATTTTTTTGGTACTCATAAAGTACAATACTCAACACAGTAAAACTTCATGACCAAGATTACACCGAAATATAGTTTAGGGTACTCATTGTCGCTAAAAAAATATTGTAAGAAAAAATTGTATAAAAATTAAATTAAGATGCTAAATGTTGTGGAGAAAATATTGTATAAAAGTATTCACTAGATCCAGTAGGTTTCTGGGGGAGACTTTTCAACCGCCGCTCTTTTCCAAATTATATTATAATCCCATAAGCAGAATTTTGTACTAGTGTTAGCTTTTTACGTTGAAACAACCCATCTTTTTCTTTAAGTACAAATATGTTCAAGCATCTGTAATTACGCACATGATCTCTTTGTTTTTTGATGTCCAATTAAATTAAATTAGTGATTTATCATGACAGTTGGTTGGTGCTTTTCTTTTTCATTTTGATTTTACAAACCAGACTCTCTTCTTGCAGGTAAATGTTGTCTTTGGAGAATCTCTATTACGTTGATTCCTTAATTAATTTTTACGAGAACAAAATTATGAGTATTAGAAAATTAAACATAAAAAACAGTCTGTTAGATGTTCTCACCATGTGACTGTAAATTTGTATTAATTAGATTTGTGTGTGTTCAATCTGTGACAGTATAATCATGCAGAATGCTGTTTCCTAACTTTCATATTTTGACCAAATCGAAGAATTATGTCTAATCATTTTGATCTTATAGATTAATCATATCAAAACATAACTACAAAAAATAAAGTTAATACCATTTTCTGATCACCTTTCTTTTTGTTCACTGTCTCCTGAAATATTTTCAATCAAATTATATATTTTATTGGCTTTTAAATTAATTTTGTCAAATATTATAATATTATAATATTGAACATCAAATCTGTTAGACGCTTTTGTCATGTTATGATGTATTTATATTAACTGAATATTTATTTTTGAATGAATCTGCATTTCATAACAAGTTTGGTTATTCAACTTTATTTTTTTCCTCCTTTTGGTTCGTCAATAATTGCAATAATATCAGGCCAAAAAAATTGCAATAATGAATTTTAAGACATGAATTTTTTTTAAAAAATTTAATATATCTTATATTTGTACCGATTGGATGAATTGTTATTTGTTATTTTTTCGCAGCTGGACATCTCTAAATTTGAATTAAAAGTTAGTCGGGAGGGCATTTCTGCTTCATTCGTCTTACTTTATTATAATATTTGAGGTAAGTAACAAATATCATAATGACCCATTTAATCACTTATTTTACTTATATTTTATTTTTCTTATTGTTTGCCATGAATATAGTGAGGGAATAATAGCTCAATTACCAAATGAATTGATATCTTGACAAAGGTAAGGAATAAAAAATCGGACTAATCATTACATCAGTTGAGACAATGAATTATATTAGGTGGATTCAAATCTCAAGAGATGCTCTTACCGACTATAGAAATGGTTAACGTAACTCATAATCATAAATTAATTTTTAAAGCAATTTCCTTTTAAAGTCAGAAGTGCACTAAATTATTAAGATAATTTGAATACAATTTTTACTCATAAGGTATTTGCTTAATAGTATTCAACACAGTAAAACGTCATGACCAAGATTACACATAGATATAGTTTAGGATACTCATTGTTACTGAAAAATATTGTAAGAAAAAATTGTAATATTTTGTCAGCTTGAGAAAAAACTGTATAAAAATTAATTTAAGATGCTAAATGCTGTGGAGAAAATATTGTAACTAAAGTATTCACTAGATCCAGTAGGTTTCTCGGGGAGACTTTTCAACCACTGCTCTTTTCCAAATTATATTATAATCACATGAGCAGAATTTTGTACTAGTGTTAGCTCTTTATCTTGAAACAACCCTTCTTTAAGTACAAATATGTTCAAGCATATGTAATTATGTACATGATCCTTTTCTTTTTTGACTCCAATTAAATTAGTGACTTGGAAGTTGACTGGTGCTTTTCTTTTTCATCTTGATTTTACAAACCAGGCTCTCTTCTTGCTCATCCAGGTGTGTGACGCCTAAGATTTCATGTTTACTTTTGTTGTCCCAAGTCTTTGGCATACGAGTTCCCTTTAAACAACCATAGTAATTCCGCAGGAAATTTGATTAAAAGTTCCTGTTTAAAAATTTAATTAGCTAAAAGAATTTAAATTTGAGCGAATACAACTATGATATATATGAGTGTAACTTTTCTTTTACTGTATGCAATATATCATTAGAGATGTGTAACAATTATCAATACGTAAAGCATTTGCACATAACAAAAAATATGTTGCATACAACAGATGAAATGTGACACTCACAGATGATAATTGTATGTGCCCAAATATAGGTCCTTTTAACTAATTAAGTTTTCAAAAAGAAATTTTTCCCTAATTCCTATTGTACGCTTATTAAATATGAATATTTTAAAGTACTACCTGGGGAATAACTTGATTGTTTGGGGCCTGTTTTACATACTTATTCCCTTTGCCATACTAAAATTGAAATAACAATTACTTTGGGGCCCAAAGAAAGAAGGGAATATTTATTTTCTTCATCTTCAAGCAAAAGGACAGCACAAAAGAAACCTAAAGCAGTGTGCATCAAAACCGATTTAAATCACCATTAAGGAATGAACATATGGCTTACTTCAACTTTAGAATTGGTGTCCCCATAATTAAAGAGGTCAAGTAAAAAATAAATCCTCATCATCTATTCTCCTTTAAAGAGTTCAGACTTCCTTCTTATCTTTGTTGACATTCTTATGCCGTTCATTGCCCTATTTCATCAGCTCATCTAAGGCGTCTTGCGGGTCAATATTGTCTTTGGAGAACCTTTGTTATGTTGATTCTTTAATTAATTTTTATTGGGAAAAATTATGAATATTAGAAAATTAAACATAAAAAACAATCTGTTAGATGTTCTCACCAAGTAGGGTTGAGCAATAGGCAGGGCGGGCTAACCTGAAAGTTAGGCCCTAGCCTGCCCCTTTATGAATAAACGGGCATGGGCTAACCCATAATCCGATAGCAGCTTATTTAGCCCTTATTAAATAGGCTATGGGGCAGCCTGTTTGGGCTGACCAGTTTACGGGGTAACCCATTTATGTTTCTGTTTTTTTTTTTTGTAATTTTTTCAGCATAGTTACTTTGTATATGTAACCTTATGAAGCTGTCAATAAATTTTGCATGCTAAATAGCAAATCAAATATGAAATAACATCACATAATATCAACCATATCCAATCACACAACATCACTTAGAGTCACAAACAATCAAAGTTTGATAAAATTATAAAAATAGTCACCAATAATAAAAAGTCTCATAAACTTTGAAAGTTCCAACTTTCACTTAAAGGATAAAATAAAAGTTTAGACAAGCATAAATGTTTGATAAAAGATGAATGAGAAACAATATCATCAATTAAATGAAGAATAAAAATATTTTTAAAAAAATTAAAACTGAAATGGGCGGGTATGGGCAGCCTAATATCTTACCCATAGCTTAACCTGTTTAATGGGCTACCCTGTCTATTTAAGCCTGCCCATTTATAATCTCTTATTTGGGTTAATTGGGAGGGCTCAAACGGGCAAAAATTTCATGGGTTATGGGCAGCTTGACGGGTAATAGGTTTGTTGCTCACCCCTATCACTAGGTGACTGTAAATTAGTATTGATTGGATTTGTGTGTGTTCAATCTGTGACAGTATAATCATGCAGAACGTTGTTTCTTAACTTTCATATTTTGACAAGATCGAAGAATTATGTCTAATCATTTTGATCTTATAGATTAATCATATCAAAACATAAGTACGTAAATAAAATAAATACCATTTTCTGATCACCTTCCTTTTTGTTCACTGGCTCCTGAAATACTTTTAATCAAATTATATTTTTTATTGGCTTTTAAATTAATTTTATCAAATATTATAATATTAAAATATTAAACATCAAATCTATCAGATGTTTTTGTCATATTATGATGAATTTATATTAACTGAATATTTATTCTTGAATGAATTTATTTTTTCTGCATTTCATAACAAGTTTGATTATTGAACTTTATTTTTCCCTCCTTTTAGTTCCTCAATAATTGCAATAATATCAGGCCAAAAAAATTGCAATAATGAATTTTAAGACTTAAACTTTTTTTAAAAAAATTTAATATATCATGTATTTGTACCAATTGCATGAATTGTTATTTGTTACTTTTGTACAGCAGAACATCCCTAAGAGTTACTCGGGAGGGCATTTCTGCATTATTCGTGTAACTTTATTATGATATTTGAGGTAAGTAACAAATATCATAATAATCCATTTAGTCACTTATTTTATTTATATTTTATTTTTCTTATTATTTGCCATGAATATAGTAAGGAAATAATATCTCAATCACCAAATGAATTGATATCTTGACAAAGATAAGAAATAAAACACCGGATCAATCACTAAACCGGTTGAGACAATAGACTAGATCAGGGTCCAGCCAGAGTCAGACTGGTCATATTAAAATAATATAATTTAATTGACAATAAAAAAATATAACAACATTTATAAATAAAAATCACTCAACAAAATCTAAGAAACTATAAAAATAGTTTAAATGTTTATTTTTTTCCCAACAGTTTAAATGTTTAATTGTAGCAGTCAAAATTATTAAAATACATATCTACTTTAAATGTTTGATATTTTTAGGTGGTTGAGACAAAAATCTGCAGTTCATTAAAATACATATCTTTCTCTCTCTCTCTCTCTCTCTCTCTCTCACGTTACTGCTTCCCATTTTCCTCTCCATGACACGCATCATGAGCAGTTTTCCTCTTTCTTCTTTGAACAACGAACAACCAGCAAGCACAATAAAATAGCAAACCTGGAACCCGCTTCACAGTTCTTCATTTCTCTTTCTCAGCTAATTTGCATTTGCCTTCCTCATTTCTCTTTCATTTGTCCATACTTCATCCATTCCATTATCTCTGTCATCTTCCTTCTTACCTTTTACTGTTCTAGTTTCTCCCCTCTCTCTCACAGTTTCTCTCTTACAGCTTCAACAACAAATAAGCCCCCCTGGTAAAGCCTTGAATGTTGAATCATCCTTTTATCTTTCTTCCATGCGTTTTAGTTTCCACGCTAAAATGCTTCTTCACTTCATTTTCTAGCATGTTTAGGAATTCTCTCACAGTAAGGTTTGTTTTCTCTCTCTATTTTTCCTCTTCCTCTACCTTCTTTTCTCGGTAAATCATCTCCTTTCTCACAGTTTATGCACTTTTAGGACGTAAAAAAGTTTAAACCGGATAATCACCCATCCCACCTGGTGGCTACTTGGTTAAACCCGTTTGTCACTGGGTCTAACAAGCAAACTTGACCAAACTGAAGGCCAATTTGCCAGTTTTCTGATTGAACACCCAGGCCGATTTTTTTACCTAAAGTAAAGAATAATCTAAAAACTCTTAGTTTTATTGTGATGTTTCTACTTTTTCTATCGGGTTTGGGTGTCGTTATTAATTTAATATGTATTGTGGATCTTTATTTAGATATTTATATCAATTGAACAAAAAAAAAAACAGCGGTATAAATATTTAATTATTAGCTGATAGATTTTTTTAGTGTATTTTCAGAAGAAAACCAAATCATCATCCTTCCACGAATCATTGATTCATATTAAAAGTTGTAAATACAAAATATTTTGAAAACTATCTATGTTTAATTTTCTTTTTCGGAACCTGTGGGTAATTTTCCCAACTTTTTATTTGAAGTTTGGTGAAAGAGGAGTATAAAAAAATTGCAAATCTGTTCGATTCATTCTTTTGAACTTCACAATAATAAATTTAGGAGAATGAATATTTGTAGAAATTGAATTCTAAATTTTAAGATCCATAATGTCATAGGCTTAATGACGTGAATCACTGTTTGTTTCTTTATTGATTCCAGGCTCGCTTCGGAGAAACATTTTCCTTTCCAGACTAATTTGACTATACAGTTTGAGGTAATTAATTGAATAAATGCTTTATATTTTTTTCATTTTAGTTGTTTGCTACGTCTTATGATTTTTTTTGCTTAAATAATTTCTATAACTATGTGAAGTTACAATACTCTGGGGCCTAAGTTATACTTTCTGATGCTCAATATTTGGGAAATCGCAGGAAATACTTTCAATTTTTGTTTAAGAAAAAATTCTCCATTTTTAGAGAGTATTTATTAATCATTAATTTACAATGCTGTCTATAATATCTTCTGGTATGGTATAACTTGAGAATTCCTATTTTTTCTTGTACTCTCTTATAATTAATTAGTTTCAGTTATCGTCTTTCTGCATTGTTAATTTTCATGTCATTATTTAGATTTTATATTAGTTGGCAGCAAAAGTATGTGACAGCAGAATGAACTCTTTTTACTTGATTTTATATTTATAATATGAGAGATTATTAGTACTAAAGCGACATTAAGTAAGTATATGTGATTGCGTTTTATTGCATCAGATGGCAGAGATTGTGATATCAATCGGGTCAAAGCTTGCAGAATATTTGGTGGCTCCAATTTCACAAGGAGCTACTTATTTGTTTTGCTTCAAGCAGTTCATTGGAGGTGTTGAGAAAGCAAAACAAGAGCTGGAGGCAAAACTAGAAGACGTGAAAAAGCGTAAAGAAGAAGCTGATCGAAAAACTGAAGAAATAATGCCATCCGTGAAGAAGTGGTTGGACGATGTGAATGCAATCCTAGAAGAGGTGCAAAAGCTGCAACAAGAGCTTGAAGGAGGACCAAACAAGTGTTTTAATGTGTCACTCAGATATTCTTTAGCAAAACGAATGGAAAATAAAGCTAAGCAAATGACAGATCTCAAACAAAATTCTAGCTTTGAGCCATTTTCCCAACTGATCCAACTTCCTGGCATTACTTACTTCTCTTCCAAAGAGTTTATGGCTTTCAACTCAAGGAAATCAACTTATAATCGTCTTTTGGAGGCAATTATAAATGGCAAAAACAAGATGGTGGGACTATATGGTATAGGGGGCTCAGGCAAAACCACTTGGGCAAAAGAAGTGGGCAAGAAAGTGGATGAGCTGAAGCTTTTTGACAAGGTCATCATGGTAGTTGTTTCTAAACCCCTAAATATTCTGAACATTCAGCAGGAAATAGCAGGGCAAATAGGCTTACAACTTCAAGAGCCAACTCAACTTACTAAAGCACAAAGGCTGTCAGAAGGATTGAAAAATAAGAAGATTCTTATAATCCTGGATGATGTGTGGAGCAAACTAAAGCTTGAAGATATTGGAATTCCAACCACTGGAGGTTGTCATATCTTGTTGACCACTCGCCTTCGAGATGTATGTGTCTCTATGGATTGTGAGAGTAAAATTGAGTTGTCTCTCTTAACAGAGGAAGAGGCATGGGCTTTGTTCAAGATGCATGCTAACACAACTAGTGTGTCAACGAATGAGTTCGATAGCATCGGAAGGAAGATTGTTGATGAGTGTAAGGGTTTGCCTATAGCAATTGTAACAGTTGGAAGCACATTAAAAGAAAAGAGTATTCATACGTGGAGATCAACATTAGAAAGGCTACGACATCCCCCACCACTGGATATTGAAGATGATTTGAAGACCCCTTATGTAACTCTCAAAGTAAGTTATGATAATTTGTCGAGTCCGCTAGCTAAGTCGCTCTTCATATTGTGCTCTATGTTTCCTGAGGATCATGAAATCCATATAGAGGATTTAATTCGTTTTGGCAAAGGGACTCTTAAGCTTGGTGAAAGAATTTACACAATGGAGAAAACAAGGAATAGGGTTTTAGCTAACATTGAGAAATTGTTAGATTCTTCTTTGTTAATGCATACCAGTAAGCAGGCACATGTAAAATTGCATGATGTGGTTCGAGATGTAGCCTTGTGGATTGCAAAGGAGCAATGTCAAGAAGTTCTGGTGGACAACCAAGAAATTTCAGAGATGTTAATTGGTAACCACCAAAGTTTGGAAGATACAAAGGCAGTGTCATTGTGGAATTTGGATGAGGATCTCGAGCTCTCTAAACAATTGCATTTTCCAAAACTTGAGATTCTACTACTTCAACCATATGGGTTCATTCGAGATATTGGAGCAATGGAGTCACTCAAAGTCTTGGCACTCATAAGACATGGATTTGAGTGGGAATTGCGGAGGTGGGATCCAACTTTTTGTTCAATTCCACAATCAATTGTATCATTAACTAATCTTCACACCTTATGCCTTAGAGGGAAAAATTTGGGGGACATATCTCTTTTGGGTGAACTTAAAGGATTGGAGATTCTTGACTTACGTGGTTCTCGATTTGATGAATTACCTACTGGAATTGTAGATATGAAAATGCTGAAACTTTTGGATATATTTGGTTGTCAAATTGAGAAAAGCCCTTTAGAAGTAATTGGAAGATGTGAGCAGCTTGAAGAATTATACTTTTGGACGACAAATCTGTCATCCCAGAAATTCTCTCTCTTTCAAATTTGAAGAGGTATGTTATCTATGATTCCAGATTAATTTATGAATATTTGGATGACTCTTTTCAACAATATTTGGATGGTTGTGATGAAGCATTAAGAGCTTTATGTATACAAGGCTTTAGAGTCTCTACTTTGAATGCATCAATGAAAGATCTCATTCTTAGAGCAAACCACCTTTGGCTAGATAACTGTGAGTGGGATTATAAAGATACAAATTTTCAGATAAAGCACTTAGTGGTATCATGCTGTCAAGAGAAAAGATTCATCATCAAGAACCCTGATGTGAACATTCTTCAAACACAACAAGTATTCTCACGCTTGATCACTTTAACATTGTTTGAAATGAATAGTCTTGAACAAGTGTTTCAAGATTCGTCTATTGGCTGCTCTCTCCCCATGTTACAAGAGCTATGGATACGGAGTTGTCCTGAATTGAGAATCTGTATCTTCTCGCATGCCACCATTACGAGCCTGCCAAAGTTGAGAAAACTTCGTATTTATCGTTGTGACAAAGTGAAATGGCTATTGTCTTGTTCCCTAGCTTCTTATTGTCCTTTACTGAAGGAAATAATTATAAGCAATTGCTCTGAATTTGAGAGGCTCATTGATGAAGAAGCTGCACATGGGGATCCACTACTTCATGATAAGCAATATTATCCATATGTAAGTATTATTCGCAAAATTCCTCTTTTTTTTTTTTGACCATGAAGCAAAATTCCTCTTGAATCATTGCATATTAGAAATAATAGTCCATATTCACACATTTGATGAAAAATATTTATCTTTTCATTTAATTTTTAAACTGAATTTTTTGCTTCTCTCTTTTGACACGCATAAATTTGATATCCTTTTGGTTGTGCTGGGAAAAAAAAAACTAGAATCATGCAACTGCTAATAATTTCACTTGTAGGTGATTTTTTTTCTTTTTGCTCACTCTACCTTTTTTTTTTTCCGATAACAAATTGAAGATATTACCTTTTTCGTTAATTTGAAAAATCTGTGCTTATGATCGAACAGTATATATAAGCATTAAAAATATATATATTGTCAATAGGCAACAATAGTCATGTTATTTTTCTTTTTATTTATTCTGCCTCTACGTTCTTTTTAATTTATAGATAGCCATGTTTACAATCGTATAATATATATTAAAAAAATTTTTAGTAAGGTATAATAGCCATTTTATTTTTGACTTGAGTTCATTGTAACTGTATAAGCCTCTTTTTATTGTGAAGTTTTCTGAGCTCCGTATGTAGGCTACACGATAAAACTACTTTTTGGTTTTGCTTTATTTTCAAGATAACAAAATACTATTGCTTCTTCAAGCTTTGTACTTTTCATATTAATTCTTATTAAATTTTTTTGGCATCAAGTATTTATTGTGGGAAGTACTTATTCAAAGTTGTTCTATTTATAATAAATTGGCATTGATGCATTTTCCATATATAAAATATTCTTTCTTTCTTCATTTGGATTTTTCTGCCATGCTTTTCTGTGGATGTGAAAAAACACTTTTTAACGGTGCCTCTCTTTGTCTTAAACAATTGTATGTTCATATTTCAATTTTGGGTCAAATAAATATTGTGTTGGTCAAGAAATATATAATGTCTACTTTATATATATATATATTATTAAATGTTATAACAGAGGTTGAATGTAATCATGTAGCAAAACAAATATAGAATATTCGTTTGTTAAATACATGTTGAGATTATGTTATTATCACCATTTAAAAAATACATGAAATCAATTTCAAAATTTTGGCCAAAAAAAAAATATCGATTTCAAAATGAAAGTAAAGTGTTGTTTGTTATCATAAAATAGTTTGGTAAATCATAATTTATATCATGATCTATATATTAATTGTACAAGGTAATTAAAGAAGCTAATATATTATAAATTAGTGTCGTTTCTTTCTTGACTTAAAGATTTTTAACTATATAATAATGTTTGTATAATGAAATTCTATATCTTTGTACTACTGCTAGTCCTCAGTATAAAATATAGTTTGCAGTGCACCTCAATGATAATATTTTAAAAATATATAGGATACATGCATAATCATATATAATTGGAGAACTTTGCATAATGTTAAAGGGAAGATTAACTACTAATTATGTATTGTAACCAAAATACACTACTACTTGTATTTTTCTCTTTCTTTTTGGAGTATTAAAAAAAATTATTACAAATTGTATTTTATTTCTTTCCACACAAGAATCTGATAAAACTTGAATGTCTTTTGCTCATTTTAATTTATTATCAAAAATTGATCTCATTCTTCCCAACAGCACTTTAATTTTTGTTTATATTTTTGTCAATAAAATAATGATTTAGGATACCAAATTTTAAGATAAATGTTTTTCTTAAATTTTCTTTTGATATTTAAAAAGATCTCTCTTACCGTGTCTCTTTTATTGCTATTAAATTTTTATATTTTCATTTCAAGTTTTGGTAAGAAGTCCTTATTGTTATTATTATATTTGCCTACTTGTTAAAGAGGATTATTTACTAGCAATAGTTGGCAATAATTAATATATAATATAAGAAACTTACTAGTTTAATCTCAAATCTAGTTAGAGTAAAAAGCAAGTTGTT